TGGTGAGAAAAAGACCCGTGGGAAAGAAGGGAAGCACGAGAAAAAAATCCCCCCAAAAGCGCCCCGCGCCCGGCCGCGCCGCGGGACAAAGTTGGGAGGCTCCGCGCCGCGCTCCGCTCCTCACCACTTGCAGCATCTGGGGGCTGCTCCTCGGAGTTGATGTGCTGCGGTTTCGCCTGCTTGCGTCGCGACATGGTGCACCAGCATCGGGAGCAAAATAGTAGCAATTATTTTCCTCTTCACAACAAATTCCTAGAGTTGGGAAATTACCCCCATTGGGCGGAATGCGCATGTCAGAGTAATTATGATTATCAATAATGCATTGCGATTTATCATGGGGCCCTGACAGCTGATTGGCCTGAGTCCAAGGGCTCGCAGATTATTCAAATCAGGCCCATTGATCCGGGCGCCCAGGGGCACCCTGGGCCTTGTAGTCCCGGCCCGCCCCGGCCCAGCCCGCCCCGGCGCCCTCAGAGGTGCGGGGGCTGCGCGGCCCGCTGCGCACCGGGGCCCATCAGTGGGAACGAAAGAATAGGGCAGGGCGGGCCGGGTGTGTGTGKGGGGGGGACACGTGTACCTACTCACCTGCCCTTCTTACATCGAGCTCTAAAGTATTTACTTATTTTTCCCCTCCCCGGAAAGTCGGCATGGGGCTCGCTCTGCCCTTTGTCGCGATAAGGTCGCGAGGGAAAGAGCGCGGGTCGCCCGAGTGGCAGAAAATGCGGGGGGGAGGAGGGCTCCCGGAGGCTGGGGCTGTGGCAGGTCAAGGGGCTGCTAAAAATTTCTTGTAGGACTCATATTCTGTGAGGTTGAAAAAAAAAAAAAAAAGGAGCCAAGAGCGTTTTTAAAATAAGTTAATAGGTTTAAACGTAAAAGATCTGTGTGTAGGGGAAAAAAAATGAAGTGAAAAGCAACACGTTGAGAGGGTTTGCAGAGCATCGCGCTAGCCCGTGCGCTGCAGGACGCTTCATGTCGGCTCCCCCTTGCGCTCCGTTCCGCGTGTGACCGCGGCGCGCGCTGCCGGGGCAGCCCCGCCTGGGTGGCCGCGGCCCCGGGGGAAGGTCCCGGGCGAGCGGCGGCAGCTCCCGGCTCCGCGCGGCTCCGGCACCTCGGGGCTCCGCGCTGCGCCCCGGCGCACACGCGCAGCCTCCGCGCAGATGGGAGATGCGGGTTGCAACATCTTGCGCCTCTTTGTTTGCCCCTGCAGCCCCGGCCAGGTCTGTCAATCGCAAATCAACCGTGTTGATGGAGAAGCTGGAGAGGAGGATCGATGTGGTGGTTACAGATTTAGGAGACCTAGGCTCAGCCCCAGGGCTCGGGGCACCCTCAGGTCCACCAGCAGCGATTTCCCGTGGCCTGTGCCTCAGTTTCCCACTGGCAAAACTTGGCAATGTTTCCCTGAGGTGCAAGACTGTCTGGATGATCATCCAGCAGTGACTGCGTGGGGTTCTGATCCGCGGCGCGGTAACAAAATCGAATTTAACAGCTGTCCGGAAGGTAGAGGGAAGGAGCGATGTTTTATAACGAGGTCGCAGCAGTTGCCACAGGCCATTGCACAACACTACAGTCTCCTCTAACAGTTACTTCATCAGCATTTTTAACTTGCAAAGCACCTGGGTTCCGTGCAGCATTTACTGTGCTCTGAGGTTTGTGCCTGCGAACACGCAGCGTTCACGATGCTGCTGAGGACGGACTTTTTGTGGCTCTTCAGGAAGGGGGAGCTGTCGTTTGTGTGGGACAGCCATGAAAAGATCTTAACATTGGAGACCAAGGTAAACAGTGCATCATGATCTAATTAGTTATATATCCTCTTGGGGTTTGGTTTTGTTTTTATAGTGTCTCTTAAGGGRTTTTATTTAGCTAAGGATAATACAAACTTCAGAAAAATCTTGCCGAACAGAAGGTACCAACCCTCCTCCTTGGACAATTATTGAACATGGAGGTCAGGGGACACATTTTGTTTTTCAGGGTACTTTCCTTGCTGCTTCCTCTGCACGCAATTGCTTTGCAACCCCCTGCTCATGATGCACTATTGTAGCAGGAGTGATATAGCCAGAGAAACTCCGTATTTAGAATAGAGAATAAAAGAAATTATCAGGTATTTAAAGTCACCCTGACCATTTTTATGTGGTGATTACTCCACCCTCACGTTGCCTAAGGAGCTTCTATGCATTTGTTTGCTTAACTGGCAGCTTGATATGCTCTTTGTTTCCAAAGTGTGTCCCGAGGAAACAGACTGTTAAGCAAGATTGATACCAATTGATCCACAAATAGATATCTATATTGATGAATTTTCTCCCTTTACACTTGATATCCTCAATATAACCCAACAGATTTTCATTTATTAAACATACTGCTACCACCCCCCACCAGTGAATTTATTAAACACTGTTTTATGTGTCAAGCTGAGAGAGAGGCATCCCTGTACAGTAGATCCATATTTAAAATAGCTAACTCATGTGGAGCACTCATACTGAATGTAAAAGCATATATTATATGAAATCAATGGAAGTTTTGGTATTGATTTCCCAGGCTTGGCTTTTCACTCAGTATAGCTCTATCTCATCGAGAGAGTGGAAATAGAGTAGGAAAGTGTTAATTTAAAAAAGAAAACAAAAACAAACAAAAAAAAAAAGTGAAGAAAACACCAAATCCCAGAGCAAGGGAGCCTGGTGGGAAGCTAGGGCACGCAGKGCAAGCACTATTGGCTGGAAATCATAGGGAGGAAGGAGAAATGCCACCAGGAAAGCTGCTCTGCCTGTACCTCTCCRGGCAGGAGTTCCCAGGCAGCAGTGACTACAAACGGGCTATTCTGAACAGTTACATCATACGTGASAGGCATATTCCCCAGCTTCGCTACGATCATATGGATTAGCATGATTACAGCTTCTGGATTTGAAAAATAGCAGGCTTCCTTTCCTGGCTTGACATTTATTTATTTTTTTAAGAGAAATCCAGAGGAACAATCTCCTGCCACCAACAGAGCCCAGGCATCGCTCTTGATAGGCAGCCTTCCAGCCCCAGCCCGACCCACCTCGGCGCTGATAAAAGGYGGCTTTTCCTAATGCTCCGCGTTATGAGCACGTGGTGCAACTCATTGCCACGAGAAGCTATTGCCAGAGGCAGGAACCACCGCTCTGTCCAGCCCGGGAAAATTCCCATCTTCAGGAATTTCCCTTCAAAATGATTAGGACTATGACAAATCTGATAAGCATTTGTGCATCTAAGCATACATATATGCCCCCCTGTCCCGCAGCAGACACTCAGTGCCACCAATGCAAGGAACACATTCTGAAACATTCTGTTCTGTCCTAATCAGCTCAGTTTACTGCATATTAAACAAAGAAAAAATCTTTTTTTTTCCTCCAAATTCAAATTTCAAAGATAAATTGAGAAATGCCTTTTTCTAAATTGCCCTGTTATCTACACTTTCATCATTCTGAGAATAAAAAATACATTCTACTTATTACAAGATAAGAATACAGCTTATTACCAGCTAATTGCTGCAGTATAAACTCCGGCTGCTTGAACATTACATGGTTTGGGTATGGTTAAGAAGCCTCAAGTTTGCTGATGTGAAGTTATCCATAGATCTGTAGGTGATGTAAATCAAAGTAATTTATGGTCATTGGTGGGGCAGCTGTTCAAGATTAAAAGCAGGACCTGAGACATTCAAATTTGAAGTGGTTAATAAGTATGTTAAATTGTATATGGCAAAGTACATAGGACTCCTCCAGACTAACTGAATCCAAAGTAAGGAGACTGTCTCTGTAAACAGTTTTTATTCCATTACAACTGTGGCAATTAAAGGATATTAATTTTCCTCATACTTTATAGGAATAAAAATAAGGCTCGTTAATTCCATCCATCCCTCCATCTTYCAAATGACTTCTGAACCTGCTGATAATTTCAGTTGAATCTGACCAAAACGAGGCAGTGGTTTCAAAGCCAAAGATTACACCAACCCTTGGCACCTGCGCAGGGAAGAAGAGTCCGAATCAAGGTCCTCACTGAAGGAAAGCAGTAGAGTTCAAACCCTCTCTATGCACAACACAGCAGCTCGCCAGGCAAGGYAGGTGCATGGTTGGTGCCACTGTCTGGGGACAGGTGACACCAGCCACTGTCCCCCCAGAGCCACATACATGTGTTGGTGCTGGCCGCCCAAATGCATTGGGGATGTTGGATTGAGCAGGCAAAATCCCAAGGCGTGGGATAATGATGCAACATAAGTCTTTAGAAACAGGCTCTTTTAGCTCACTACTCTGGGAACAAATTGCTTATTGACCTATTTGTACTTGTGGTAGTACAACGGCAATTATATAGACACCATATGCAATTTAATCATTTCTCCACAGGAATTGTTAATAGTAATACAACTACCCTCACTAGAGGGATRGCCCCATGTTTTATAACAAATACATATATATAATATTTATACTTACGGAGCAACATAATTAAAGAGGTACCATTTTGCACAATTAAGCTTTAGTTTAAACAATTTACAAGCTCTCCTGAAATTGCTTCTGATTTCCCTGTCACAAGACTAAATCTTTAGGCTAGGATTTTCAAAAGAGTTGGCATCAAAGGGACGTAGACATCTTATTCCATTCATCCCAGTCTTAAATATTCAAGAAATTAAACAATAAGTAAAAGAGTAATGAGGGCTTCTATGAGGTATTAGTAGAACTTCATATTTTCTTCACATCGCTAAACAAATGCAATATTACACCATCACAGACCTTCTATTAATAACTAGTTGTTTTGTGTGAAAAGCTATTTATCTTGCAGGCTTTCTGATCAGGGCAAGTCCTGTTGGCTTAGGAGCTGAGAATCTGCAACATCAGCCTATTGCTCCATTCCTGGTATCCTGTCTGGCTCAAGACACCGGGAAAAAGTCATAATAAATAACTTTGCAGTTATGTTGCAGGAATGATTTGGAGGCTGATGGATGGARGGAGAAGATTTGAGGTAGCATGGTTGGTTCGCCTCCCTTGCAGCTTGGCAAGTGAGGGTTTAAGGAGTAGAAATGAGTTTAAGCACTTYGTGGGTTTCCCTCTTCACCTTGTAAACCCATTTTCCTGTGCTCAGCTTGACAATGCTGCGGATTCCAAGACATTTTATAAATGCTGCAGAACCACCTTTGTAACGATACCGCTAATGCAACTAATGGACTGTTCAGTCCCACGGGCTCTACGCCGTTACATCAAAGATGCATTTTACCAAAGATGCGTCTGATCAAAGATGCAGGAAACAACTTAATTTGAAACCTTAGATCTCCCAAGCAAGCTAATGAGTTGCATAGGAATTGTAACTTTTTTTGAGGGGAGGGAGAGAAAAAAAAAATACACCCTCCCCGTGGCTCCGCAGCCAGGAGGAATGAGAGGCATGTGGGCTAGGCAGGTAAACAAACAAATCTGTGGCTGTTTGTTAAAATGCCCAAGCGCTTCATCTAGGCAAGAGCAAACACGAGCAGCTCCGTTGCTCTCAGCATGAAGAGTCTTCCGTGTAGCATCTCGTATGACGTGGAGGGTGATCTAGCTTTCCCACAAAACCCAAACCAAACTTTTTAAGGAATGGGTTATATGCATGTTAAATGAGTAATATCCATTTTTCAATGGGTATTTATCCATTTTCAAACCCTTGCTTCTGAATAACAGTAGCATCAGAGGTAAATGGTAACTTGAGCCAGTGGTATTTGGAAGACAAGAAGAGAAATCCTATGAGATCATCAGATCTGGTGTTTCCAGATCCAGAACCAAAAAAGGTACCTTTTTTTTTTTTTGTAAGCATTAAACTGTTTTGGAGCCTTTGGAGGTGTCTAATTATTACCTACTCTGTAGGGGGAATACAGGCATAGCAGAACAGCTCAGGACTAAGGACTGCAAGTGGCAGAGGTTGCCACCAGTGCCTAGAAGCTTCCTCCTGCCCCTCAATGACTTACCTGGTCTCCTATGGCAGGGTCCTCAAGTAATAGACAGCAGACCATAGCTGGATGCAGTTATGAAATAGTTCACCAGATGACACAATGCTAGATACAATTCAGAAGACAATAAATTAGCACAACCTCCTCCCATATCCTTATCATCCTAGATAACTGTGATTGAATTGTGTGTAGCATTGCTTCATAGTCAGTCCCTCAATACATCCTGCCTCTGTGTTATGCTAAAATGCAGCTCCTTGTGCTTCGTGAGTGGCAAATGAAACATGTTGCAAAGGACTGAACTTGCTTTCTAGAGCCTCTTCTCAGGTCTCTGCTCCTGAGAGCTGCAAAGAAAAGTGGCTCTCTGGGTCCCAGTCTGTGCAGAACAATCTTGAACGCAGAGCTCTGAATGCAGAGACTGCTGCTTTTTTGATTTAAATGTATTGGCGATTTTTGGCGATATTTCCTACTCCACTCACACAAACAAATAGTTAAAGGGATTTTACATGGCTGGCTYTTCACACAGATGTTGAGGTACTACATCAGTAAACTGAGAGCCCACTGGGATTAGGATCACATATTTGATATCCCTGCTTATTATATAGAATTAAAATTTTACATGGGAATTTATTTACACAGAAACATTTTTTTTAGTTATAATGAGATAAATCCCAGTTTAGCTGATATATAGCCACGCAGTGATAGTATGATAATTAAGAGAAATCGTATACTTTTATAAACATGTCTTTAGTCAGAGCAGAAGTTTCAGTTCGAACTGCGGTAAATGGCATTTTCTACAAGGTGTTTCTTCTGCAGAATGCTGCTTTCAGCAAAGGACATTATTGCTACTTCATTTTCTCCTCAAACAAGGGGAATACCTTTTGGTGTCATTGCAGCTACAAGTTGTCTCCCACCACAGATCAAACAGGCTTCAGTCTTCATCAGGTGAGCTTCGATGCAATCAATAAAACTGGAAATAAAGGAACCCGAAACAGGTGAATGAATACCCTGGAAACCAGCAAAGTTGGGACAGAACTAATTAAATGCAATAGCTGTCTCTGCGTCTGACTAAACCCAATGGGCATTTTGGCTGCTTTGCCAGCCAAGGTCACTCCGGCCTCCCAGTTTTGGGATTAATAATAATAATAATAGGATATTTTCCCCTATGAATCTCAGCTGTTTAAATGCAACTCTGTTAACACTGGCTGATCGGGCTGCTGTCCAACCTTCTTTCCGAAATCCTGGATAACTGTCTAGAATGGGAAGTTTCTCTGGTCATGGAGCAACTAGGCTCAGCGACCTGTTTGATGCTGGGCTTTGGCAGCACGCCRGGCAAGAGGAGCCACCACCGCCAGGGTCAGCCTTCCCACACAGCACACCCCCATGCCCTGCTCTCACACCTGATCACTGCCAGGTAATTATGCCAAGAGCACGGATGTCCCATCGCAGCCATGCACTTCCACGTGTGCCTGCACATCTCTCCACTGTCCCTGCCTCACGTGCTCTCCAGGCAAAAAGCAGCCCAGGGGAGAAAAACAAGAGGAGAAGGCTAAAATAATCATCACATCTGTCTCAGTCCAATAATACTTATTAGGGCCCTTCAGTTTTGCAGCTTGTCAGAGCTGACTACAAGGGGAGCCAATGCAGTGTTAGAAAACCAAGTGAAACTGGCCCCTCACAAGCAGCTTTTCAGCATCTCCCGCTTTGCAGCTCCTTGCGGCTATAACCTGGTTATCCCTGATTACAAGTGTTCTTCGACAGCTTCAATTTAATTTAGGTATGTTAGCTAAGGTGCAGTCTACTCCACAGACTGTAACTAGATTAAGAGACAGATCGGCTGTAATTGGAGGTCCTGATTGAATTAGATTGGGATTACAAATATAATTGGATATGACCCTATTTGAGATACTTCAAAGGAAATATATCTTCAGAGCATGAAAGCTCAAAAATCAACAGACCTTTTGGAAAACCTTGATCCATTTCCTGTGTGGATGTAGCGGGTTCTGTATCATTCCAGTGCCTTTTGCAGAAATATGTTACTTAAAAAGCAATTGCATTGGTGGAAACTATAAAAGAGGCTCCTGGATATATGTTCCCAGATCCAAGATAACATCCCTGCAGATTCATAACCTTGCTAGTGACACAGCCAGATTAGGTTAAAACTGTGCCTGAAAGGCGCTTTAAAACCCAGTAACAAGTCCTAAGTATAGACTAACAGGCCTCAGGTTTTATTGTAGGATATAAGCTCTGGAGCCACAGTTTAAGCAAAGAATTCCTTTTGCTGACATGGCTTTTGTARAAATTTACATCTGAAAAGAGCAGTTGGCTGAACAACAGTGGCAGCCCTGGTTCAGTGCTTGACACCTTGCCGCATGTAGAGGACAAAAGCTTGAAAACTTTTTTTTTTTTTTTCATATGATGTCTTTTCTTGTTTATGGCCCTTAGTATTTATGGTACTGCGAGCCTCGAGTCACCAGAGACCTGGTTAAGTAGGTCACACCATAAACAGGCTTATCAGAATAACAGCAGGCTCATAATTTAAGCAGGAAAAATGCAGAGAATACATTTTGTGGATGAAAATTGGAAATCTAGCAGTCTCTTAAGCAGACATTAAGGARAGGGGGAAAAAAAAGATATAAAGAAGAGGAAGAAAAAAAATACAATTCAGCCTTCAAGAATACCTAATCCTACTTCTATATACATTTCCAGTATTATTCAGTGATGACTACAGCGCTCCATTCTGGTTGAGGTATGAAATGAAATGCTCAAGTGTTTTGGGCATCATCATTCAATCTCCTTATCCAGAATCTTCAAAAGGTGCTTAATATTGAAGCTTATATTGGGGAAAATAAATAAATAATAGTAATAAAAAAGCTATTCTCACACAGGAATCCATCCGTRTCTCAGGGGAACATACCAAATTTAGGTTGCTCCCAAGTTTCTACCTCTTCTGCTCCACATGCAGAGGAGTCTCCAAAGTGGCCTCAGCAAATCTATAATGTCCTGACCCAACTCTTGCAGTTCTCCACGCTGCTTCATGTCACAGAAAACATGACATCCCCGTTGCCCATTGTGAGGTTTACTATCAGGCAATCTCAGGGAAGATGACAAATGCATTTGAGAATTTCCATGCCCCCAAATGAGACCCATAACCACTATCACAACAACAACAATAGATAGGGGACTTCGGGGCTTCCTTGTGAAATAGCATCACAGATATCTAGGAAATTTTTTATTTATATGTTGTTTACATACACACAAGATTTATGTTGCAATTAAATTTCAGTATAAATTAGTCTGTGAGGCTGTTTAATTGTAGGTGCAAATCAAGTAGGCAAAATGTCCTTTTGCTTTCCTTTTTCTCCTTGGATTTGTATGCGGTTCATTTGTGAGCTTCACAACTCTGCATATATTTTGCAGGTGACAGTCYACCTTGAAAAAGGCATCGTATGGCCTAGCTCTTTAAAAGGATCACTTAGTAAATGATCTCTTATCCATTTTAATTAAAGTGGTATTCAACAAGAAACCCTTCTTAGGCTTAGGTGCATAAATTCACTCAATTTTGTACATCAAGAGAGCAAATCATTTCCAAATATTGACATATGTTGAAACTATTGATACAACTGAAAAGGTATCTTTCTTTTAATTGAGATTTTCCCATTTCCAAGGCTGGTGTTATGTGACAACTTTAGCATGAACAATCTTTATCTCCCTGCTAGTTAATTGAGAGAGGTCAGATTACTTTAAGGAGCCAATCACTCAGGGTGGGGGTTGCTGTAATTTAGGACATCAGGAATTTTGACTCCAAAAACAATTCTTTTTAAACTTTTCATCTCAGAGATTAACTTGTAAATTTTCGGGAGGTGGGGGTTGGAGAAGAACAAACTAGAAGCACAGAAAAGATTGGTAGTCATCTTAAGCACACTAAATGCTGGCCAAAGAGGGGGGAAAAAAAAAAAAAAAAAAAAAAAAAAAAAGGCAATTTCCTTTATTTACTAAGCTTGCTCCATTCTGGATTGTGCATGACTTGGCAAGGATATATTGACTTTTCATGAGCTTCTTTTTACAATTACAAAAGAAAACAAAATTACTGATTGGAAAGGAAACCTTCATTGTTCTGTTTTGTAAAAGAAAAAAGTTTTGCGTGTACTTGGAAGAAACAGAAATGCATCAAAAGAAAGAGAGAAAGCAGATGATGCTACAGAGATCAATACAGAAAATTGGGTGAAATAGAACATCTAGTATGTCTTAAAAAAAAAAAAAAAAGAAAGAAAACCATTTCTCATATCCTAAGTACATTTACTGAGTTGTTTCCTACAACTTTTACAAGCTGTACTTTGTGTCCAAGACCTTGTGATATGTTTTAAGATAAGTGATTTTTTTTWAAATGATTATTTTGAAAGAACTAAAGCATGATAAAATCTTGGGGTCTTCAGAGACTATGCAAAGTGATTTCAGTAAGGCTGGTGGGGTGCCAGTGGTGCAGTAGGGTAGGGATGGAAGAAGGAAAGGCCCAGAGCAAGCTGCTCTCCTGGGTGACAGGGGYGTTAGAGCCAGCAGAGAGGCCTCAGGGACACAGAGCAAACCTGAGCAACAGGAATATGTCCCTCCTGTTCCAGCTTTGTACCACCATATTTTTAATTCCAACAAATGAATTCTCTGAATGAGCAACCAGGATGTGGTTCCCTGCGCCAGGGTGGGTTCATCTCAAGTTAGCACATCAAGCCCAATGGAGAAAGCTTTCAATGTTTTATCACCCTGCTCTATCTAGCCAGAGCCCATTGCTAATGCAACAGAGGAGCACAAAGTCATGAGCAAATTCACCTGGTCAGGCTTCACAGAGCCAAAAGAAGGAGATTCCCAGATCTTGGAGCACAAGGTTACACAGGAGCCATAAGGARATCCTTCTCCCATCCATCCAGAGCCTTTTACTTGGCCCTGAAGCAGGGCTACCCTTGGAGGTGGGAGGTATAAATGGGCTCCAGCAGAGCCTGGGTAATGTGAGACACCTGGTCTGGTGGTCCTGTGGCAACAGTGGCCCATACAGCCTCCTTCCACCTTGCCCCAACCTTCAGCCTTCTTGTAAGAACTGTTGCTTTTATTTACCCAGCCTCACATATAATCATCTGTCTGCCAAATGTGATGGAAATTCCCTCCATACATCCATACATCCAGAGAGAGAGGGGAAGAAAGAAAAAAAAAAAAAGTGCATTACTGCTATTTTGGGAAGATATTGAGGAAAACTTCCTTCATTTGGGGAATCAGTTATTGTAGGGCAGCTGACAGCACGTGAGGACATGAATGACTCCTATTCAGGGCACTTGCAGAGAGCAGTTTCTCCATCTAAATGGTGCCGCTCAGGTTCAGGTTACCAACTCCCATGATATTTGATGTGTCATTTAGAGCTGAAGTTCCTAGAGAAACAAATGATCGTATGAGGAGCCTTTCTTCAGCAAAGCTGTAAAGTAATCTTAAAACACTTGGTCACAAAGAAAAGCCTGGAAATGTGGGGTCTCCATAGGGTTTACTCTAAAGTCACAAAACTACAGAAAGTAAATAAAACATTTCATGTAAATACATATGCATATATATATGCACACATACATATAAATCTCAGAGGACTCTATAGCTATTGAGAAGTTGAAACTAATACCTATTTTTTCTTTTTTGAATACCTGTGGTGTATAATGCTGTGTTTATCTCACTCTTAAATGAAATTTATTCATCTAGACCCAGTGCATATTCAGTTTTGCAGATACTATCGATGATATGTGAATAAAAAAGACACAAGAAATCACGTTTCAGCCTGAAGGGAATATGACCCTCGGTCTCTATCTGGTTTTAGTCTGATGATCACAGAGGGTAAAGAGAGTACAGGGACACAACTTCTAGAATATATTAAAAATAAGGGAAAGAAATATCAAAGGAGATAAATGACAGGAAGTAATGCCCCCTCCCTCAAAAAAAAAAAAAAAAAAACCCACCACCAAAAAACAATCAATCAAACAAACAAACAGCAAAAAAGTGCATTCTAACACTGCTGAAGAATGGCTTGTCACCCTGATCTATGGGCACAAAGTGGCAGATTCTTTGGTGGTAGAAAGTTGTTTCAGCAAGACTGAACTCAACTAAGTGTGTAGAGCCAAAGTCGGCCCCTAGCCATGAAATAGATTTGCCAAATTGCTTTTGATTCATTGTATTTATGATCTTAAAAGCATGTAAGCTATTTTTCCTTTTTTTTTTTTTTTTTTTTTTTCTTTCGGAATAGAGTAAACATAGCTAAAGAGGAGGAGACTGGGTTCAGTGGTGCCCACCTGGGTACTGATGCATATGAGGTCTGGGCATCTGGAACGATGTGATCCCTGGGGATGGACTCCAGGGTGCAGGAAACAAATCCTTTCTACCTGCAGAGCTGGATCCTGCTGCATTCAGCCTTTATCACCTRTTTTCTAGAGCCCCATTCCCTCTGCAGGGTGTTTGTCCACTTCCCACAGAGCTTGACCCCCTCAAAAAATGATTTTAGGACCAGGGAAATGACTCTGTGTGACTATACCTTTTGAAAAGGGGTTATCTTTCTAATTGAATAATTATTTTTGACAYTGGATATCAGCAAATGGTCAGGAGAAAACAGAGTGAAAGACTTTGCTTTAAGCTGCTGCAAGACAATCAGCAACCACATTAGGTTTCATCTTGATCCGAATATCAGGGTGTAGATCAAACCCTGAAGCCTGAGATTAAACCACCCTTGCAAAAAAAGAAAGAAAAAAAGCCCGCTATTAGCAATAGTGGTTCAACAAAGATAGCTCCGTCATCCAGTGCAGGAAACTTTTTAAATCCTTCTTCTTGGTGGCCCACGAGTCCTACAGCCTAATAAATCACTTTACAGAAAAAGCATTTCCTCTGAATTTGCTGTCTAATATGATAAAATATCTCTTGAATGTCATGTCCCCTTTTTATGTGTCTCTCTTCAAATTTTAAATGATCTTAACTTCCTGCTGGAGTTGGGCTATTGTTTAATCTTTAAAAGCTTCTTGCTTGATTTTCAGAAGTGCTGAGCACCCAGAAACTCACTCAACCAGCCTTCAAAATCTTTTTAAGATGCAGGCATGGTTTTTACACTTAGTCCGTTCAAGGATGGCATTGCTTTGAGCCCATTTGACATAACAAATTTCCAAATTAGCGGACAGGGGAACATCACGTCTAGGCAACGTGTGCTTCATAGAGGGACTCGGCATTTGCTCCAAATGCTCATTTAGGGAATTAAAAACAGAAACAAATCCAAAATCCTCTTGTTGCTACAGCTAGCAACTCCCCCTCTGCAGCTCAACGGAGTATTTAATCTTGCAGAGAATATTCACAGTGAATATTAGTTAGCACGAAGAAAGCGCAATGGGCTGCGAACCTGCGTGTTCCTGTTCTTGGGTCTCGCTGTGGGAATGTGGGTGGGCTGAGGGCTGGATTTTTCAATAAAAGATGCAGGAGGAGAGAGCAGGGGTGCGGGCGGACTGGCTGCGCCGGCCAGGCTGCTCTGCATCTGAGCCGCCGCGATGGAAGTAAAATATTTTGCTTATAAAGAATTTTCATAAACATGTCTTAGGATGTGTATTAGAGGTACGTCTTGGGATGTGCATTAGGAGTAAGCTAAACAAAATGGTATAAACACAGGGATGGCCTGTAATAGGAGAATAAATGGGCTGCCCCGGCTCGCTCCCGCGTCCGCGGAGCTGCCRCAGCTCCCAGCCCTCAGATCTGGACGATGCCTAAGCACAGGGGACACAGTGAACTCGAGGAGCCTGTTTAAAAATAAAAATCAAAAAAAGCAGATTAGCACCTCTGACGGCTCTTTGGCTAAAATTAAAAAGGGAAGAAGTCACTCCTAGGAGTCGTGGTGCCAAAAATATCTAAATGTTTCTGAGCCAGAGGAAAGGGCAAATTAAAGAGATGGAGGGAATCACTGTTAAATCTGTATCCAAAATGTCTTACTGTATTTTTAGAAGTATTTACACTTCTAAATATATGTATTACCTTTGTAGAAGGTATAAAGAGGCAGACAGCAGGACTTCCAAAAGAATCAAAGCTGGTCAGGTGCCTAAATTCTCAGTGAAATTCAGAAATACCTCCAAGCTAACTTCCTTTTGTCTCCCAGTCTTGATTCCAATTTAGCCCTGACTTAGGCAAACCTCAGCTGGAAAATTAGATGTTTAGCTTTTACAATCCAGTGGATGCCTAAATATAGACCCAAATACCTAATTTGAGAATTCCACTAAACTTCTGTTTTAAAACTACATGTAACCTATATAAAGACATAAATGCACACTGAATAATAATAATTGAATTCAAATGCTTTCATCCAGATAAAGTGCAGCAATTGAATTAAAATCTCCAAGGGTTTTGGAGCCACAGTGGACAGTGTAAGTTATAATCTAGTTTACTGTATAAAGTACTAATTATGTGTCCATGGTATTCATCAGACTAGAATGTTTCCTGTGAGATGGAGAAAAAATATGGTAAAGATTAAATTAATTATGCATTTTTATAGATGAAACTGTTTCTAATATTTTGTGACTAACAATAACTTTAAAGAGCAGCCGTAAATATATAGCATTTTGGAACCTAAGGAGATTAAAATAAATAACATATGGACCCAAATCATCCGTCAGGCCTGGATTGCAGCTTTGGTAATGTCACTGTTAGAAGTACAACACTTTATTGACAAATAATACGAGCCAAAAAGCCTGCTCGGTATGGACTCAGTAATATTGGCTAAAAAAAGGACTTTTTAGTGGCTCAGACTAGGGACTGATTTAAGCTAAACTGACAGCAAGCCAATAGGGTCTGTGCTCGTGCAGCCTGGCAGCCCGGAGCAGCTCTGTGCTTCTGTATTCGCAAAAGTGCAGGGAACAAATAACCCTGCATTTCCCTGCTGTCAGCACTACCTGCTCACATATTACAAGACAAATGAGGATTTCGTCCTATTTTACCTAAATCTGGTCTTCTCGCCAAGCTGTCGCTGTAGTTTCAAGCAAATGGTGTGATTTTGTGCTTTGTGTCCCAGCAGAGCCTGCATTTCTTGGAGATGCCTCGTGGTAGGAGACCCAAGGGCACCTGCCCTGCACCGAGCCGCAAGCCTGGCCACTCTTTGCCTTCCCCACCCTCCTCTYCCTCATCCCCAGACCCCTTTCCACGTCACTGTCCCAGCACAGAGGCTCCCGGGCAGCGCATGACCAATGTTTTAGAAGAGGGCTTCTGTTTACAAAGCAGCCACAAGTTTGCTTTCCCGATGGGAGCAATTAATGATTTTTTCTTTTTTTAGAGCAGAAGCTCTGCTCTGCCCATTCCAGCATCAAGGGTGGATCGTGAGAAGGACAAGCACCTGGGGAAACCATTTTAAAGCCCAGAGCAGGGCTGGGACATCCCCCCAAAACACCACCCACAAGGAGCCAAGCCAACAATTCCCAAACAAGGATTATCCACGTGAAGAGTTTCACTCTCATCCTGTCTTTTATTTATTATTACCATTTTTAACCATTCCCCCATTTATTCTGTGGAGTACCCAGCTTGCCCAGGTTCCCGCTTTTCGTGCTTCTGCTTGGCCTTGGAGGCTGCATCACTAACAGCTCAGTGCTATTTAGTTTTATTTGCTCTTAAAACGAGCAAGGCATTCTTAGGATGTGTTACGTGATACTACTGTTTTGTTACTTCCCCTGGATAATAAACAGTCTGGAAATTAATGATTTATAAAGGGTTAGTGTTTGTGTGACAGAAACTAGGACAAGTGGCTTGACCCCAATCCCATCCCCATCTGAATACTGCAGATGAGTCACTCCTGGCTCACATTCTTTTGGGATTCTCCGAATGCACAGAAGTCAAATGAACATATATGTAGTACTG